TCCAAAAAGTTACCCTTTTAGCACGTAGTACTGTCAGGACAGAAGCTTACTTCATTTCATTAAATTTACCTGGAACTGACATCCAAATTTCACTGCAATGCATTTGTAGGTCGATACAAGTGCATGACTCTAGCATAGGCGGGTCTATCTCTCTTTTCATGAATTGCTCACCGATGTAAAATGAACCGTATGGAACTTCGTTCGATGAGGAAAGACTGAAGAAGAGGAAAAAACCCAGAAGCAAGATGTTACATTATCCATCTTTGTTGCAAAGATCTGCTTTTGAAACGACTCGGCATTGCTGGGCCTGAAATTATGCAATTTAGCTAGCCAAGCACAAAACCCTTAGCTTAAAAAAAGCCAAGGATCACCGCAAATGAAAAATCATCGCACAAGCAACAGCCCCCCCCAAAACCAAAAGAGAGGCAGAATTTACTGAGACCACCAACAGATAGCGCAGCCGTACTCGGTTTCTACAAAAACCTCGAATGAAATGTTGTACGATTTCATGCCAAACATATTGTCAGGATCCAGAATTGATCCGGATACTGACATTCAAATAAGTGTCGATAGCGGACTAAGCCGCTGTAACTGCACAGAAACTGCAAAAAACGAAGTGCTGAACCACTGCGAGGAGCTAGAAGAAAGAGAGGACACTGAAACAGGTAAAAGCCATGTTAATAGCAAGGGACGAGTTTCTATAGAGAAACACCAAATTCCAGAAGCGCCTTTTTTTCTGGATTGATTTCATGTTCCAGCAGTGACCCTCAACTACTTTTACAGAAGCGCCCTCACTTTCTCTCAGTCCATGCAACACTAGTCATCAGTTTCAGTGCTAAGAACTTAAACTGAGTAGGCATGGAACAAACTATGCATAGATGGATGTAGAAATATCGCCAATGTGAGGAAAACTAAATATGAAAGAGTTAAAGAGTTCCGGTCCATTAAGCCATATACGTCTTAGCTCAACTTCACGACTGGACCTCGTCAGAATGACGGTCGTGGTGTTTAGAGATGAGAAAGAAAAGGAAGGAATGAAAGGGTGGGAAAAAGAAGAGAAAGAAAAAGAAAATAGGGAAGGGGAAATTTTTTTACGATTATATTAAAAGAAAAAAAAATCAAAAAGTTATAAAAGTGGAACCTCGATGGATGCTCTGTGGAACGTGTGGTTATTGGGGCGACATCATCGCCGTTGGTTTTGGTTTGTTTCGTATTTGACACAGTTGGAAAGTATTATCATCGTAACAAGAGGAGAAAGTAGCAATATGAGCAGAATGTTAGCAACGTGACGTAAATGTGCACGTTGGGTGGTATAATTATTGTAGAAGAGCGTGCATCAGATGCCGACAAAGGCCGCAGTAGGAGAGAAATAATTGGAAAAGTGGTACTTATTTCTGTATACAAATGTGCGGACTAGTCGATTAATGTTTTGAAAAAGAAAATCCTTTATGCGAGTAATGGGAGAGGAGATGACGAGTGAAAGTGATAAATCCTTGAAAAGTGGATTCGATAACAAATTATCTATTGAGCTGACT